AAAAAAAAAAATCCAAAATAAACTCAAACTTGTGCATCCAGTTGTTTTTAAACCTTTAGAGATGTACACAGAGACACTGTCCTCTCCCCTTTCCTCTTCTCTACACCAGCTACTGCACAGAGTCCTGCCATCTTCATATGTTTTCTGATGGCTCTTCGGTGGTTGGATTCATCAGTGAGGGTGATGAGATGGAAACCTGGTTCAATCCAGGGGGTCGATGTGGACATTGTGGAGAATACCTCAGAGTACACACAGATAATAAGCACCACTGCACTCTACAAGAAGGGCCAGAGTCACCTCTGTTTTCTGAGGTCTTTCAGGATTTTTTTAGGAGTCTCTTGTGACCAGTGCCATCATCTATGCTGTTGCATGCTGGGGTAGCAGGCTGAGGGTTGCCGATATCAGCAGACTCAATAAACCCATCTGCAAGGCCAGTAATGTTGTGGGAATGAAGCTGGACCCCCTTAAGGTGGTGTCAGAGACCCGGATGTTGTCCAAAATGAGGACAATGCTGGACAACATCCTCTGATTCTCTGATTCTGATGTATGCTGTACAATCATTTCACCGTGGGAAAAAAAAAAAACAGTTCAAAGAAGTTATTAAAAGGCTAAATTACTGACTTTACGCCCACAATGGGTGAATGTAAACTTCTGACCACAGTCGTAAATCAAAATGATGGAGATTCAGTTTTAGGGAGAGCTTTCAGACTTGAGACACTTGAGTTGTGTTTTTGTTTACTTTAAAGCGACAGTGCACATTAATCTGCACAAGCCCTTAAATTCATAAATATATAAGCTTTAATCATCCAAGCTAATGTTCATCTGCAGATTGATGGCATTTACAGACAATGAAGAAAGATATTGTCTGTAAATGAGATATAGATTCATCTAAACATGTTTAAGAAACCAAGCACAGGAATGGTGAAACAAAAACATTAGCACTGTAACGTTACATGTCAAACATTAAAAAGCACTGAACAACTGGCACACAACACACAATGTCTAAAACACAGAAAATTATTAAAACAGAGACTTACAGTTATGACATGTTTGATTAACCACTGCTTTACAGACTGGAAAAGGAACGCTACGGTAGCCTTCAACAAGCTCTCCTCTGGTGTGGATATATTTTTATTTTGTGCATTGAAGTCATTAAGAGGAGGGGAAATATCTGCAAGTCTAATCATGTTTCCAAGTTTAAAAAACAACATCTTTATTTAGAATTTTACACAGATATTAATTTGACCTTTTATCTGTTTTTGAACTTAAGCATTCAGTGTATAAATTGCTGATTTTGCGATTATTACCCCACAAACACAAACCAGAGTTTCTCCTTCATTGCAGCTTAGTTTCATTTATGGCCTACTTCTCATTTTTAGACATA